CTGTCAATAATTAATACGAGGGTTGTCCAAACAATTTGTGCACTGCGGTTATTGTCGTGAGAGTTTTTGATAAAAAATATGAATTATATATCATTTGAAGGGAAAATTTGTCTCAAATAAGAAAACAAAAGAAAAAGCCGTGTTACCGGTGTATCGTGAAAACGAATCGTCATACAGTTACCTTAGTAACGTAATACCTGCGCACGACAAAAATTGAGTTAGTTCATTACTGTGATTGTATTAATTTTTTGTTGCTTGTAAAGTGCTATTTGCTTTTTATGTCCTTATTTGTTTGACTGTCAATAGAAGAATAACTGATGCAAAGTATTTCGTAGTTTTCATTGTTCTTATGCAACGTACATGTAACATTTTCCAGTCGTGCACGAATATATTGGACAACCCTCGTCACATGCGCCGCCATTACGGACGGACGTCTGCCTGATCAGTTGCCATCGTCTTCCGACTCTCGCCCCTCAACAAAGCGTTTGTGCCATTAAAAGAACAACCTTCGTGATACTGAACTGGTCCCGCTTGCTCTTTTAAGTTCTTTGTAGGTATCTGTCGGTGTTTTACCAATATTTGTGCAGAATTTAATGATCGTCCGCATTTCCAGACGTTTAGCGACTGTCATTTTCACGTAATGACTGTATTGACGACCACAAGGAAATTTTTGTTTACGACTGTTACATTACGGCAAATGCTGTCATGTTTTTAAGTGACATCAGGAACACGTACACACACACTTCTACCTAAATTTTGACGTTTATATGTAGTGTTTTCAGGATACTGTGATGCATCAAAGTAACTAACCCAATTTTTTGACGTGTGCCAATATTACGTTACTAAGGTAACGGTATGACGATTCGTTTTCCTAACACGCCGGTTACACGTCCTTTTCTTTTGTTTTCTTACTTGAGACAGATTTCCCCTTAAAGTGATATATAATTCATGTTTTTTATCAATAACTTTTATGACAATAACTGCAGTGCACGATTTTCTTTTGGACAACACTCGTACATGTACTTACTCCCACAGAACATTTTACACCGCATTTATGTTTAGTGAATATATCATTTTACATATGAACTTACCTGAGTTTGGTTTACACAAGAGCTTACTGTTAGAAAAATTTATTAAAAATAACGATACCACACATAAACGTTCACGATCCTTTAAGTCTACCCATGCACATGAACGCATCGAAAATCTCTCACATGATAATGTTCATTTAGTGTCCTATACCATGATAATTGATATGTTCAATAGTTATAATGTTTATAATTTTCATATCTTTTGCATATTTATCAAGTATTTATAAATATAATTGCCTACCGACTGCGTAGATGATGATGATGATGATGATATAAATTAAGTTCACTTACCTTACCAAAACAAAACTCGTTCGTTTAGAAACACATACATATAACAGTGTTCTATTGTTTTAAGATTAATAACCATTGTTAAAACCTACCATTAATGATTCTGTCAATTTTAACAAAAGTGTTTGTACATATTTTTTTATGATTTTCAGTGGTTTTCAGTATTTCCCATTGTATTTGTTGGAAATCCTTAGATTTATTATGCCTTCATAACGTTCATATTTATAAACCTCCTTTTTGATTATATATATTTGAAAATATATCACAATTGATTTCAGTTTGTTGAGACCAAGGCCGGCTAAAAAGTTTTTTTTTAACAAACTTATATATGTTTCGAAGCTTTAGTCAAAGCTGTTTGCATTAAAAGAATGATAAAAGATGTAACGTTCACAACCAGTTTGCCAGAGGCTCACATAACATTTTTTTCAACTTGTTTAATAAATTCAGTATTGAAATTACAGTCATTCAATATCCTCTATTCATGCCATTCAGTTTATAGATATAACCTGGATAATTATAATAATTATGTTCACAAAAACTTTTTGTATTGACACTTAAATTGAATAGGACATTGCAAATCAATACGTTGCCAAATATTCTTTGTATTTATTCATGTATAAATTTATGGATATGTTACCAACTAAGCAACCAGAGTATTTGTTTGACTTTAAACATTAGATCTGAAACCTTGAAGAGAGGAGCAATAATATTTAAAGCAAGAGGTAAGAGTTGATACAATTATTTTTGAAATAAAAACATCTTTAATTTGACATATGTATTTTAGATAATAATTTATTTGATTTAATTTTGGAAAAAGTGTCCTTTCTTTTAATTCATGAAAATGAACAAATGAAAGAAGGCTGGGTTCTTGTGAATGAGTTTCCATAGCATTATGATATGTAAGCCCCAGTCACACTAGAGCTTACGACCAGTGAAGACCAGTTCACGATCACCAGTGACCTCTGGTCGCAGACAATCTTAAAAACGTCTTACGACGGTCATCGGTGATCTTTGGCAGTCGCAGGTTATCTTATTTAGGTCCCACGACCAATTTCAGTCGTAAAGAGGTTTTTGAGCTTGCACAAAAACCTCCTTGCGATTAAACAGGTCGCTAGTGATCTTATAAGGTCTTAAGGCTGTCGCACGATGGTCGTTCGGAAGTGTAACAATCTTACAACAGTCTTTACAAATTGCCACTAGTCACTGATAATCCTAAGTAGTCTTTAGTAATCGTGTGATGGTCGTACGACAAGTTGTAGGTGATCGCGTGTTATGACACGGGTAGTCGTAAGTAATCCGAGGCAATCTTGAGACCATCGTACGTTTACTTATGACCTGTCGTACGATTGTCAATGATGACTTGTCTTACGATACTCGCAAACGTAAATTTATCTGTGCATAAATGGTTTTGTTCGCAGACAATCGCTGATGATCGTCAGTTTTACAAGTCGCCGGTGGTCGCAAGTAATCGTAAGCTCTAGTGTGACTGGGGTTTAAGCAATCCAACAAGAAAACCCATGCATAAATAATAATAAATACATTATAAGTACATTGTTTAATAGAACCCCCGCTGAAAAAAATAAAAAAGAAAAAAAGACAAACAACAAAACAAATAGGATTGCATATTTCATATGCATGTCAAAGGATGCTTGATATCTTAATTTTTCTACAATTTCAATATCTTTAATATGTTTGTTTTTTCTAAAACATTAAACAAGTTAAAGTAAATAAAATCCGCTCGTGTAATTCCGTGTATAAGGCTTTTAACATGTCGCTATAAGTGAAAGAATGTAACGCTTTATTATTTCAACGTTTAAAAAGATAATGTTTGCTAAGTTATTGTAATGAGGATATAAAACTTGAATAGTTCTTTGTAGTTTGATCAATATTTTCAGGCAAAATTGTTGACATAGGTCTTAGCCACGACTCAATAAAAAGCAAAAGGAATGTAAATATAAAATGAAACTGAAATAAAAAATTTATATTTGTAACTATGTCTTAATTGCGTTTAAAGTAATGATAGTGCAGAATACGTAAAGTTAAAAAAACGTGTAATTCTCATTTTTGATCAGTTGAATTTATTACATGTAACCGGTCTATTCTTTTAACATGTTTAATTACAAGAGACTCAAGGTAAATAAAGCATACTTATGTATTCATGTAAAATAAGTAAGATGAACAGCTTAACGACTTCTGTTGGTCATAAATGATAACACAAGTTTAGATTTTTCTATCGTTTGTTTATTTGCATTGAAATACATCAAATGATATATTCTATTTTAAGGTAAAAGTGGTATATTTTGTAATTATATTTCTTTTGCTATAAAAGGAACCAGATATGTGACCATGCTCACTAACTCGTTTGCTTACAAGGAACTCCGGATATAAGGAACAGGTTTTGAATGTCCCAGTGAGTTCGTTAATTATAAGCGGAGTTTACTGTAAATTGTTTTGACATAGATTTAAAAATAATAAGAAGAATTAGATACTCGCGTGTTTTAAAATTTTCACATTCATTATGTCAACATGTTTATTGACAAAAAAATAGCGACAAAAACTGGTGCAGATTGATGATATAATATTTCACAACGAAGTGTAGATTTTTTCATGCGTTGATATTCATTGAAATACAAAGTGTGCATATATTAAATACAAATGATATATGTTATTAAACTATGAAAGATATGTCTCCTAACCTAATTTTTTTAACTATTAGGCAAAATAAGAAACAGAAACATGCCTACACTTACTTACCTGTTGCATGCACCAAGGTAATCATATCAAATTGAGATATCAGTTTTTGCACATTGATAAAAATAGCAAACATGAAATTTTAAAACTATCAATTAATAAAATTAAATTTTTAAATAAATAATTTCATCAATGTAAATAGGAACAAGAAGTATATATGTTTCACATGCAAAAGAATATTATTTAAAGTTTTCAATACAAAAATTAAATGTTAGCAATGCTTGCATAACAATGACATGGTAATTCTTGCAGCTTTTAAAATATAACCATTTTTGTAAACATTGAAATTAAATTATAGCATACTGATATTGATGATTTGTCAAAGAAGAACAATTTCTATTTAAGGTGTCTTTTTACTTGTTTTTCGTCTGAATTCATAAATTTTGTAATCATTTACAAATTAGCATTAAAGTTAAAGAACTTTCCCCATATCTGTACATTTTATTACAGAATTATCTTTAAATTTTATTTTATATTGACAAAATCATCCCTTACATTTTATCATAAAGCTATCTTTAAAATTTTATTTTAAAATTGTTAGAACTATCCTTTACATGTTTTAAGAGCAGTTAGAACTGTCCTTAACAAATTATTTTTGAATGACCAATGAAATTCACCGATTTTAGTTACTTATTTTAAAATGACCAATGAAAATTCTCCTTAAATTTTGTCCTTCCCTATTAATTTTACAGGAAGTTAAATCGATAACAGACGGACTTCGTCCGCAAATGTCAGTACAAATAAATTCGTAAATTAGATGTAAGTTGTTTTGTTTTAAATTCGAAAATATTTGAAGTAAACAAATCTTGCTGAGGCCGATTTTACCGCGATTAACAGGGTCGTACTTGTTATATATTTCAGTGTCATTTAAAACCAAATTTAAATGATGGCCAGCAGAATAAAGGGTGAATGTAGCAACGAAGTTACTGAAGAAGAAGAGTTACTCAGTGACGTGTTCAAAGAGAATGGTATTGAAGGTATACAAAATTATATCAAAGAAGGATTAAATAAATGGCGTGAAACTGAATTGCATATTGCAGTTGCTGGAAAATCAGGAGCTGGAAAATCGACTTTTATCAATGCCATTCGGGGACTTAAAACGGGAGAAAAGGGTTCTGCTGATACTGATGTCGAAGAATGCACGATAACTGCCCAGTCTTACACGCATCCAAAAAACGAAAAAATAGTATTTTGGGATTTACCTGGAATTGGAACGTATACTTTCAAACGCGATGAATATAAGGATAATGTCGATCTAGCAAAATATGACTTTTTCCTTATATTTTCATCAGAGCGATTTTTAGAAACCGATGGATGGCTGGCAAACGAAGTAAAACAGTTGGGTAAAAAGTTTTACTTTGTACGAACCAAAGTATTCCAAGACATTGAAAATGATAAAAAAGGTAGAAAAGTCGCGCGTAGTAGAGATGAAATCTTGGAAAAAATACGCAAGAAATGTTTAAAGAGCCTCGAAGACATTGGTATATCTGAATGTTTTGTTTACTTGATCGACAACTTTGAACCAGAGGACTTTGACTTCAATAAGCTACAATCAAACCTAATCGAAGATTTACCACAACTGAAACGAGAGGCCATAGTTTTTTCAATTATTACTAAAACCGACGGTATGATGTTGCAGAAAAAGAAAGAACTTGAAAAAAGAATTCCACGCATTTCACTGATATCTGCAGCGACTGGCGCAATGCCAATTCCAGGGTTTAACGTAATTGTGGATTTTGGCTTAATGCTGGAAGAAGTCGACTTTTATAGAGACCAGTTTGGTTTGACAAAAGATGCAATAAACAGGACTGCAGAAATGCTAGGAATGCGCGAAGAAGAGCTGAGAAGGAATCTTAAAATGAAAGAATTGCTCATCGATTACACAGTGAAAGGATTAATGGCGTTCTGTCAAACACTCTTCATAGCTGAAGCATTGGAAGAAGTTGCAAAATTCATGCTACCTATTCTAGGAAGCGTTGCAGCTGGAGCGATATCATACAAATCAACTCAGTACTGGCTGAAAAAAATTCTTGAAGGGTTGTACCAAGACGCCTTGGAAATTAACAAAAAACTGAGTATGCATTCTGCAAAATGATCGCCGGTTTAAAAACTTCTTCTGTCTTATCATATAACCGAAAAGGGTCAACAATAATTTGTGCGAGTACATCTGAATAAGAGTGTTTGGTCTGATGAGATGTTAGACAAAATTGATTTAAGTTTTAACATTCAATTAACATTTTGAACCTTTTCAAAATAATATATATGTCATTACATTTGTTTAAAGTAGCCATAAACTCTTTTTTATGAAAAGAAAACGACATCGCTGAAAATCACATTGTTGAATCGCAGCGGCACTGGTCATCTTTTGTCAAGAGAAAAAATACATATACATTTGTATAGGAAGTTAAGTTTCTACATAATAACTGTTTACAGTGTTTAGTTTGTGCATCAAGTTTCACATGACTGATTTAAAACTATTCCAGCAAAAAAAGGCATTGACGATTTCTATTCAATTAAGTAACTTTGGAGGCGATTTTGAAAGGAATTGGTTCTCATGTGCTAATTCAGATTTTTAAAAGGATATCAAACGGACATTGTCGATTTATTTTAAATAATGTTGTTGCGGACAGGATTTGGATAGGAATTAAATTTCGGATGCTTATCTAAAAAAGGAATATGAAATGCTATGGCCTTTATTTAGCCGTGATATTTATTTTTAGCAATAAAAATCTTTTTTTATGCATAATCATATATAAATATCCACTAATGGTAAATTTTGTTTTTGTTTTTAAGGTATTTTATAGCTAAATTATAGATAACGAGACTGTTATGTGGAAATATCATGGCCTGGGGCGACATCGACAGATTTTCTCAACAGAAAACGATCTAGGACGTAAAGTCGATAACATTTTGTGAAGGGTAAATCCCAGATTCCGCTACAGGCCATGACACTTCTACATAATAGTAGAGGTCGATATATTATAAATTGTTTTTATCGCATGATAAATAGAAATGAGAATTTTGATTTAACAAAAAAATCAAATTTGTATGTTGCTTCTCTGAATAAATATAATTCCTCACATTGAACCTCGGTTACTCTGTATGGTACATGTCAATGACCGATTAATGTTTGTTTTTATTGTTAACCCCATATCGTAAGAGTCAATTGGAATTGATAAAAGTGCATGTATTGCTACTCATGAAAAGGTTTATAGAGCAAATGCCCCCTAGCACCAAATAGCATTCAGGAAAATGGGTTAAAAGGTTTAAAAACAAGTAGCTTCATGCACCAGACAAAACTTGTTCCTCTGTTTCCCATTACCTATCCCCAATGTAAATAAATACGCCTTTTTCAAGCCAAATTATTTTGATACAGTCCAGTATTTTGTCTTCGGTTACAGTTATTTATGAACCAAGTGTACTTACTTTACTGTGTTTTATTTGAAATAACGCACGCTTCTTCTACAGAAGTGTGCGTTATCTGAGATATCGTTTTATGCGTAATTGTCTATAAAGCATATTACTGGCGTATAATATTTGAGGAACTTTCAAGAAAAATCACCGCATCATGCGATAATAATATAATACCGGACTCTTTTTAGAGAGTTAATATCTGATGCAGCATTTATAAATCATGGTATGTTACAGCTTGTGATTATGAATAAAACACCGATTTTAACAAAAATATTTTACATTTCCTTATTTCTTTGTTGATTTACTTCGATGTTTATTGACTAACGTCGCATGACTTGCTAATTTCTCACATTCAAAAAGCCTTGCATGTATTACGGGATATATAATGTCAAGCCGGCGGAGAGTGGCTGCTAGTCCTCGGGAACAATTATTTTTCTCTAATTTAGTTACATAGAAAAATTGGTCTTCACATGTTTATCAGTACTTGGAGTGACTGTTTTAATTCTAATTCATTTATCATGGGGAAAATATTTCTGAAATGATTCTGGGTACTACTGCTCCTGGTGAGTATCTTCTGAAAGACATTGCATGTGGCGTCTGTAGAGCGAACAATTAGAATTAACAAAGTTTAAGGAAAATCTGGAGTATTTATAGGAAAGGGTCACATAACCTTTCAAACAATAACGTGACTTCATATATTGACATCACTGAATACCCAGATGGATTATGTGATTTGTTTGATGACATCACATTGTATCTATCTTTACTCGATCAAATTCAGAACCTAGGTCTGGATCTGGAATCCTAATCAGAAACAACTAATAATGGGTGAATTACAAGACATGGCACAAGTTTCATGAGTTATTTTATAAAGAAGATAAGCTTACCAAATATCCTTCTAGGGCAACACTAAATTTATAAATACAGTTAAACTTCGTTTGCTCGTACCCGGATCGCTCCCATACCTCCCTTCGCTCGAACTCATCGCCCAGTTCCGGCAAAATGCCTATATAATACATTTTGTTCTACCTCGGATCGATCGAACACCGATCGCTCGAACTCTTGAACCTGATGTTTGGTCCATTCGGCAGAAATATAGTAAAAATCACACCATTTCGGTCGAACACAAAAAGACAAGTCGATATGTCCTTAATAAATAACAGTCGGCGACACATGTTTATACACCTGGGGCCGTATTCATAAAGGATCTTAAGTTTTAAGGGAAACATTTCCTTATGTTCAAGAAAACTCCCTAAGGTAAAATTTTCCCTTAACTTAGAGGTCAAAAATCCCTTAAGTGAATTCCTTAGGCAAGAAATTCCTTAACTTAAATTTTATCCTAAGGCGAAAATTTCGTTTAATAGCAGTTTTTCTATTTGTAATTACCGACTGGAGAGCACTGACTGTGCTAAAAATAGTAACAAAGACAAAATGGCTGACCTAGAGCAGGAAATGCGCGACGTTTCAGACCTTTCATGGATATTTGTTGTATTTCATGGAATTATTCGGACAATCATCATAGGACGAAGGCAGAGGAAAACGATTGTGGGTTTAACACTATTGACATGTTTGGAGA